GAATAGAATAGAACAGAACAGAACAGAATGAAGAATAGAATAGAATATAGAATAGAATAGAATAGAATAGAATAGAATAGAACAGAATGAAGAATAGAATAGAATATAGAATAGAATAGAATGAAGAATAGAATAGAATAAAGAAGAATAGAATGAATAGAATAGAATAGAATAGAATAGAATAGAATGAAGAATAGAATAGAATAGAATGAAGAATAGAATAGAAGAATAGAATAGAATAGAAGAATAGAATAGAATAGAATAGATAGAATAGAATAGAATAGAATAGAATAGAATAGAAGAAAATAGAATGAAGAATAGAATGAAGAATGGATTAGAATAGAATGAAGAATAGAATAGAATAGAATAAAGAATAGTACAGAATAGAATGAAGAATAGAGTAGAATAGAAGAATAGAATAGAATAGAATAGAATAGAATAGAATAGAATAGAATAGAATAGAATAGAATGAAGAATCAAATAGAATAGAATGAAGAATCGAATAAAATGAAGAATCAAATAGAATGAAAAATAGAATAGAATAGAACAGAATGAAGAACAGAATAGAATAAAGAATAGAATAGTGTAGAGTTGTAATTGCAGGAATGTTCCAATCTCGGATGGCAAACCTCAGATAAAGAATGTTTCCAAGCAAATACAACTCAGGTAAACAAAGTCACTAATCTAAAGGAGGATTAGAGAGAGGAAGTAGGGCTGTTTTGTTGTGCCTGGGGTAATAGATTCAGATTACACTGGTATCCTCATGATTCAGATTTGGGTGAATCTTCCTCAAGTTCTTCCTTGTAATTCTTCTGTTGCTCAATTGCTTCTTCTTCCATTTGAAAATCCATCTCCTGGTATAGGTAATCATGGGGATGCAAGATTTGGATCAACTTCTTTATCTGTAGGCTTACTTCATCAGCTGAACTCCTCTCGTCCTTTGTTAACGCTCTTCCTTAATTAAAAAAAAAACCATTTCAAGGGTTATTGGATACTGGAGCCGATGTTACTGTCATCTCCTCTTTACAGTGGCCAGTACAGTGGCCAAAAATGCCAGTTTCTTCATTGTGGGGAATAGGAGGTTCTACAGCTGCTTGGCAGAGTGTATAGCCTCAGACAAAATTCAAAAGGTAGAACCTTATACCTACTTAGGACATAGAATGTTGCACAATTCCTCCATTCCAATTCTTCCTGAATTACAAGTACAGAAATCATATACATTAGTACAATGGCAAAAATTACTTGACATTATTAATTGGGCACGCCCATTCTTCTACATTACAACTGGTGATATGTTGCCCTTATTTCAGTCTTTGAAGGGAGCACAATCACCAGGAGATCTAGTTGTATTAACTGATCCTCAAAGAACATGCCTTCAAGAAATATTGAATAAGTTTAAGCATCGATATGTGGACAGGATAACATCTTAACAATAGGACTTTGCTTAGCTATTCTTCCCACTACACCCTTACCCACGGGATGTCTTTATTCTAATGCCTCCCCGCAAGCGGTCAACATTCATGAATCGATTAATTTGTCAGCTACTCCGCCTAGAAACATTTATCTTTATCAATCAGCATTAGAGGATTTGATTATTAAAGGTCGTAAATGAGCCTTACATCTTACAGGACAGGATCTCATTAGCATAGCTTTCACTCGTACAAAAGTTGAACATGAGCATTTGATGATAATTTCAGAATCATATCAGATAGCCTTTTCTCAATATGTGGGAAACTTGTTGTATCCTTTACCCAAGGATCCTAGAATAGTGGTTACTACTACTTTAAATCCAGCCTTTTCTTCCATTTTTGTGCGAAATCCTATTTCTAAAGCTCTTACAGTCTTTACTGATGGATCACCTACAAGGGGTGTGGTTGTCTGGCAGATTCAACAACAATGGTATTCTAAATTTACTGCCACATAGACTTCAGCTCAACGTGCTGAGCTGGCTGCTGTGATTTTGGCTTTACGATTATTCAATGACCAACCTATTAACTTGATCGTTGATACTCAATATGTGTATTTAGCTATGCAATCTCTTCTCTTTTCTTATTGTGCTCTCTCTTTGGATAATAATTTGTTATCCTTGTTTTTATCTTTAAAGAATAGTTTGGAAACTCGCTTGTATTCTTTGTATGTAGAACACAATCGAAGTCATACTCCCTTTACTAATGCCTTGACTGAAGGAAATCGGAAGGCAGATGGATCCTTAAAGTCTTTGTTTGCTGATCCTGTTGCTAGTCATTCTTATTTTCATCAAAATGCCAAATCGCTTGCAAAGCAATTTAAAATTTCATTATCTCAAGCCCGGGATATTGTCCGTGCTTGTCTAGCTTGTCAGCAACTGGCAGTTCCCTTTCCAGTAGGTGTCAACCCACGAGGAACCCAAGCTAATCAAATTTGGCAAATGGATGTAACTCAATTTTCAACCTTTAAGCCATACTGTTATCTTCATACATCTATTGACACTCATTCACACTTCCTTTGGGTTACTGCTTCAAAACATGAATGTACTTCAGATGTTATTTCTCATTGCCTATCCTCTTTTGCTGTAATGGGTCGGCCTTCTCAGTTTAAAACTGATAATTGCCCCGCTTATATTAGTAAGGAATTTCAAACCTTTTGTCAGAAATGGAATATTACTTTAGTGCATGGAATTCCTTACAACGCTCAGGGTCAAGCTATAGTTGAGCGAGCTCGTCGTACTTTTAAGGCATTGCTTCAGAAACAATTACAAACTGAGTCTGGCCCTTACCATCTGTGAAAGATTCAAAATCTTATTGCTGTAGCATTATATACTTGGAATTATTTAACCTTTTTAGATTCTCTTGCAGACTCACCTGTTAATTTGCATTTTCGAACTACTGAATCTTTAGCTAGGCCTTTGGTAAAGTATCACCAAGCTCCAGATCCAACCTGGAAAGGCCCTACACCGCTGATCACCTGGGGTCGCGGTTACACCGCCGTGGAAGATCCTTCTACTCAACAAGCAGTGCGGGTTCCAGCGCGCTGTGTTCGTCCATATCATGGCATGTCATCAGGGCCTTCACAACCCGATTCCAGATTTCAATCTTCATCTGAACACGGAAGTCCGTCTTCCAAGGTCGACGCACCCGCAACCCATCACTTGGGGCCAGGTTAAATCTACTACATATCAAGCTCAACAACAACTGCAACAGGCCTTATTACCTCAGACTCCTGAAAATCTTGTTGCTGCTGTTTTTGCTATTATTACTGCTAACTCTGTTACCATTTTACTTTGTATTTTCTTGTTTATGGTTAATGGTGTTTCTGCACAAAATGACACTTTTGTGGTTCGTCTTAACCCTAATTTGTGGGTTCGTCATGCCCAATACATGTTTATGACCCATGGCACAAATATTACTAGCCCCCAATGGCATTTGGTCAAATTTCTTTTACCCCTAACTTGATCATGTCTTCTACATTTGTTGTCTCACAACTACAATCTATTTCACACTCCTGGCTATTTTCTACACCCCCTATGCAATTGAATTCTGTCCATTGGCGTTACTTGAAAGTTAGTCAATTTACAAGGGGTCTGTGTTTCTGTTGTCACGCTAAACACACTTGGCTTCATAATTGGTCTAATTATGATGCTGCTCAGCACATATTAAAAAAGCTAGGGAATTATAGTTATTGTTCTGACTACTATTGGTTGTCAGGTGCCTTTAATTCTTCTTTGCATGGAATTAATATAGCTCCTGATATGTATCCTGACAATTTTCCTATTTTTAATGCCTCTGATCAATCTAATACAGGATCAATATGCGCTGGTTGGCAGCTTAAGGATCCTAATATGTGGTTCTTTTTTGATAAATATGCTACTAATGTTCATCCTCAGAATTATAAATGTGCAACTATAGGTTATTTTACTCTACCTCTTCAAATAGGTACGCTCCCATCAACTCGACAGCGGCGTTCCTCTCTGGGGCCTACATGTAATGATTAAGTCATTATTGACACACAATTGCCTTCTGGTTCTACATTTGGCTGTGCATTGGCAGGGGCCGTTACAGGAGTCCTTACTCTAGGCTGTTATTCTGGCATAATTGCTCAAGAAAACAGACGGTCTATTCTTGGTCTCACCTGCAGACTTGAAAAATCCATCAATGCTACCGCTGCTATTATTCGTGATTTGCAGCATGAAATAGAAGACTTAAATCAAGATGTCTTACAGCAGTGTTTTGCCATAGACTATCTTTTAGCCCGTCAGGGAGGGTTCTGTACGTTAGTTGGACACTGTGGATGTGCTGTGCATTTTCATTCTTTGAATAAAACTATTGAGGATGAGCTTGCCAATTTACAATCATACATTCAAAATAATATCCATGCTCATTACTCACCTTTTGAGTGGCTAACCAATTGGCTCCCTGATTGGTCTTGGCTCAGACAGTTTTTCTTTTATGCTATAATTATTATTATTGTACTAATTGCAACCTGTTGTTTTATTCGATGTATTCCAAATTTATTTGCATTGTTTCATCCTGCTTCCCCCTCTCTTAATCCTCTACAATTGCGATACATTCATAAATCTTTGAATCCTCCATTTAAAATAAAAAAACAAGGATATGTAGAGTTGTAATTGCAGGAATGTTCCAATCTCGGATGGCAAACCTCAGATAAAGAATGTTTCCAAGCAAATACAACTCAGGTAAACAAAGTCACTAATCTAAAGGAGGATTAGAGAGAGGAAGTAAACA